GGGGGGGGGGGTGGGGGGGGGGGGGGGGGGGGGGGGGGGGGGGGGGGGGGGGTCTGGAGGGGGAGGTCTGGAGGAGGTCCAAACACAGACACTACGACAGAAGTTCTAAAATATTTTGTTGTCGTTTTTTTTTTTTTTTTTTTAAGGTTTTTCTTCTAGAAGTGAAGCAGCTATAAAAATCCAAACTGTGGGTCGGGGCCAGGAGGCGTACAGGGAGAACACCACCACCGCTAATGAAGGGTGTAGCACAGCTAAAGGTTAGCGGCTTTGTTGGGACTCACGTTTCTGGATGATGTTGTTCAGTTCCTGCTCGATCCTCAGGCAGATGGACTGGGTCAGTTCTTTAGAAATCCTCTGGAAGGCGTCAAAGTCCTCCACCGTGTAGACGTGGGTCTCCGCCGGGGGGTTGGCGATGGCCTCCAGCTCCGACTTCACGGCGTCCTTCACACCCACCGCGAATATTTCCACGTCGGCGTTCCTCAGCCTGTTGGCGGGATCGTGGAAGGCGTCGGAGGATTTGCCGTCGGTGATGAGGATGGTCACGCGGGGGACGTTGGCGCGAGCCCCCCTGCCGGACTGGAAGATCTTCTCCCTGACGTAGGTCATGGCCCGGCCCGTGTTGGTGGAGCCCCCTCTGTAGGGGAACGCCCTGACGGCCCTGACCACGGCGGACAGGTCGTGGTGCGTGTTGAGGTAGAACTCGGTGTGAGGATCCCGACTGTACTGGACCAGACTGATCTGGACCTTGTCGGGCCCGATGTCGAAGGTGTTCACCAGAACCTCCAGAAAGGCCCGCACTTTAGCAAAGTTAGCCAGACCGATGCTGTAGGAGCCGTCCACCAGGAGGACCACGTCGGCCTGAACGTCCCTCCTCAGAGAACATTCTGGAGAGAGAAGAAGACGACACCAGTTCAGACCGGTTCTGACCTGAGATCCACCAACGTAACATTAACGTCAACGGTTAGCCACGATGTTCTGGTCCAGGGCTGGACTCACCCACGGACACCCGGAGGGGCTGCGTCTTCTGCAGGGCCGTGATTGGTTCACTGGGCGTCAGGCCGTTCAGGGCGTAAACACTGATCTGGTACTCGGTGTCGGGAGAGAGGTCTCGGACCTCGGCGGCGGTCTGGGCCGACCCCAGGTACAGCTCCTGACGCCGGGCGCCGCTCACCATGGGAATCATCTGGACCTTGTAGTTGGACACGTCTCCGATGGACGCGTCCCAGGAAACACGGATGGCCTTGGAGGAGACCTCCCGGACCTGGAGGTTGGAGGCTGGCTCCACCGCTGCGTCAGTGGTGAGAGAAGAACAAGTTTAGAACCGGCGTCAAAAACCGCAGAGGGTCAGAGTCCGAAGATCCTGACCTTCTTCTCCACTGGACAGCGCCCCCATCTGTTCACTGACGGCGGCGCACATCTGAAGAATCAGCTCCTGCTGCACCTCCTTTATCCTGTCAAAGGAGGCCACCCTGTAGACGTGGCTCCTGTAGGGGGTGGAGGCCAGCAGCTTCATCTCTGCTTCGTCCGCCTGCTGGACTCCTGAGGAACAGCAGGAAAATTAAAGAATTCATCAATAACATAATAATAATAATAAAAAAAAATTATTAAAACAGAAAAAAAATGTAATAGAATATATGTATGTAAATATAGACTGGACCAGACCAGAGGTACTGGACCAGACCAGAGGTACCAGACCAGAGGTACCGGACCAGAGGTACTGGACCAGACCAGAGGTACCGGACCAGAGGTACCGGACCAGACCAGAGGTACCAGACCAGCGGTACCAGACCAGAGGTACCGGACCAGAGGTACCGGACCAGAGGTACTGGACCAGACCAGAGGTACCGGACCAGAGGTACCGGACCAGACCAGAGGTACCAGACCAGCGGTACCAGACCAGAGGTACCGGACCAGAGGTACCAGACCAGAGGTACCAGACCAGAGGTACCGGACCAGAGGTACCGGACCAGACCAGAGGTACCAGACCAGCGGGTCAGCTGCCGTGTCATTTTTCTCTGCGCTCATTAAAAAGCTCTTAACGTCTGGAGACGCTCCAGGTCTGAGGTCATCACTCAGAGAAAAAGAAAATAAATTTTCCTCCGCTGACCTGTTTTCACCGACCGTAAAACTGCTGTTTTTTTTACAACCACCGTGGCAGCGTTCCATCCTGTCGTGACTGTGTGGAAAGTCTGAGTCTGAACT